GCTCCCGGCCGGTTCCCGGCCTGGAGCGGGTCCCGGAGTCTTGGGGGCGACGAGGAGCCGCACCCGGGAGCAGGGGAGAGGAGTTTGGGATGTAAAAACTAAAAAGTCGTGCCCAAGCCGGCTCCGTAAACGTCCCACAAAAGAATGGGAAAACCCTCAGGGAGGCGAGCCCCGAAAACTGCTTTGCAAGCAGTGTCCGGCACGGCCAGCGGCTCCTGCGGGACTCCCGGGAGGTCCTGCGCTCCGGCTACATGCTGGTCACACACGTCCTGGTACCGAAGGGGAAGAGCCCGCAGGGCCTCGGGTTTCACCCCCTCCCAGCCTCCTTGGGCCTTCGCTTGCATTTGTGCCTTCTTACCCACAAATCGGAACAGTCTTGATGAAGCCTTTGAGGTGGATGAGGATCTCTGCCTGACCCTCACAGCCACACCTTGAAGGAATTTCAATAGCACTAGAACTGTGCCTGCAGATGCAGGAAGAGCTGGAGGACTTTACCTGTTGCAGGCTGCCTAGTGATGGAGAACGATCCTCCTGCTTTCCGATTTGCTGCCACTTCCCCATTCTCTGTTAGGCTGTTTGAAGGGACTCTTCAGAAACCGTAAGCCCGGGAAAGCCTCACTAGCGAACGCAGAGCTCAGAGCAATTCTGGTCAGGAAGACTCTAAGATACAGTATAAAGGACCTCAGTTTTGAATGTGGTCTCCAACTCTCAAATACTTTGAAGGGGACCCCTCAGGCAAAAACCCCCTTGTTCTTCAACACAACTGGAAACAAATGGGTAGAGCTTCGAGAAGGGTGGGGCCCATAAAGGAGCTAAAGCAGCGAAATTTAGTCTGATGCCTAGGGTTTTGCACCAAAAATAAATAAATAAAGGGAAAACCACAATAGTGATCTTAGTCATCATGGAGAAATTGATGCCTTGTCCCTCGTCTCCCCACTCTCCAATTATTTCTGCTCATGGATGTTCCAAATAGTTCACTTGGAAGCAATATGAATGTCCAGGCAGGAAGGAATGTTTATGTAAACTATGGTGTTGAGAATATACAGGAAGATGTTTTTTAATAAAACAACAGCTGGTTAGAATTTAGAAAAATGAACGTGCAACTGTGAAACCAGCAGCTTGTCTATTTTGAAATACACAGAAAAAAGACTGGAAGGAAATACATCAAAATGTTAAGCAGCGATATAGGTGTTGAGATCATGGGAGATTTTTTTTCTTCTATTCTTTATTTTCTACAATACCGAAAATTTTGCATCTAGGGCTTTTCTGTCACCACCCAGAATAGCATTCAGCACGTCAATTTCTGTGTGCCTGTGATTACATTCACCACCACAGGCACAAAGGAGAGAGCCTACTGGAGTCTTGGGCAGGATTTTCAGCGGTTCCCTTTGTAGTTTTCAGTATCCCTAAATAAAACTTAAGCATGGACTTCAGATTTTTTGCGTTGTCCATAAATTTACAGATAGCTCCACACAAAGCAAACCGAACGTATGCTGATAACACAAATGTCAAATACTCAGTAGGTCTTGTCCCAGGGGGAACTCTTACTACTTGGGAGATTCCCACTTCAAATTTTTACCTATATATTTTCTCTGCCTTACTCCTTAGAGATTGATGGCAATGTATAAAGATGAAATAGCATACATTATAAATGGCACAAAACAATTAAAATAGGGGGTTTTGGAAGTATGGGGCTTGGGTACTACTTAGAAGCATGCGGTAGAGATTGAAAATGGAGCTGGAAATAAGGCTAAGAATTGTACCTTAGTGACCTGTGCACCTGTTGCAGTAAGATCCAGGTAACTACAGCTTCTCAAATCGCCTTTTACAGAAACACTATCTATGTCCTTCCTGAATATTCCTTTCCTTTGATGAATTGTTGAAGGGGTTGTGGCTCAGAAGCCCCTCTAAGACTGTGTCAACTTTCTACTTATTTTCTTGTTCTCCAGCGAGAGTCACTTTCTGAACAGCTCTCCACCACAGTATCTACTGGTCTATTCTTCTGTCCTTAATCCATCTCCGTGAATGTTCCTATGCTTAGTGATGAGGGGTTAATATTGTAAGTAGCTAGTACATGTCTTAACATTTGAAACACCTGATTTATAGCTTTATGAGTTACCTGACTAGCTTTAGAAAAATCAGCTGTTGGGTGAGCGATACCATTCACAGGGAGCAGGGACCCTCTGTTGGGTACCACGGGAGGAATAATTAGAATAGTGCAGCTGGTCCCTTCAGGGCTTCTTTTTTAGTATTTCAAGCTGTTGCCTGCCTTGAAGATTAAAGAGAAACTGGGAATTCTTTTCTAGTTTATCAGGTGAGATCTTCAAGTGCATTTCTTAAATGTTTACTTCTACCTAAAACTTCCCAGTGTATTTAAATGTAGAATCTTATCTGAAATCCCCTACAAGAATCTCTAAAACACGCAATACTTGTGGTACTTACATCATACTGAAAAGTAGCCGAGAACTCCAGTGTTTGGAAGAACAGCTCAAGCATTGAAAGCAGCAATACCCAAATAAGGTACCAAGCACTGGACTTAGATTTAGACTAAATGATACCTCACAGATCTGCCTTCAAATCCAGCCCTCCGGCTCGGTAATCCTCAGGTTGTCGTCGGCTTTTTCTCTGAGCCTACTTATGCTGTGCTTTAAAAGGGTATTTTTAAAAGGTTAATGCAAAATATAATCACTGGGATTTAAATGAGAGAAGTTGGGTTGGAGAAAATAAGGGGGTTTTCGTATGAGTATGAATGTGAAGTGGGGAGAGTTGAACATTTGATATGAGGCCAGCAAGATGGAATGTAATGAATTATTGCTGTCAGATGCCAGGTGAGCAGAATTCTCTCTTTGTCTTGGGGATTGCCAAAAACGAAACATACTGATAAAGCTACCACAGAGGCAGAAATCACAGAGGGTTGGGTGTAAACCAAGAATGGGAAGGAGGTTGCAGAGCCACTTTTTTTTTTTTTTGACAAGTGGGAGGTCCTTGTAAAAAGCAAGAAAAGGACTGGCAAACTGGGAAGGAAAAATTTCTAGGTCTGTTTTCACACGGGTGAAAGAAGGGCTCTTGAGACAATGAAATCTCTAAGAGCAAAGAAATGCACTGCTTGCATTTACTGCTTTAGTTATAGAAAGTTTTCTGTACACAGTCATGGAGGGTGGTACCTTATTTTCTCCCCCTGGTTTGAGTTTGAACACTGGAACATCTTGTGAAATGTTCTGAAACTTGACAAAAAATATATATTCACACACAGTCATAATAACATGGTAGCTGTTTTTTTTTTTTTTTAGCACCATGTCGAGAACTGAGATAGCCCTATAGGTGTGTGACATGTCGTAGGCTCTTAGTGAACACCTATCTACAGTTGACATTTAAAAGAAAAGGCATCCTCATATGAAAGAATGAAATTAGACCAGCACTTCACACCAGATACAAACATTAACTAAAAACAAATCATAGAATTAAAATGTAGGATAAAACTGTACGATTCTTAGAAGAAAATGTAGAACTAAAGCTTTGTGACTTTGGATTGCACAGTGGCTTCTTAGACAAGACATCAAAGCATAAGTGAATACAGGAAAATTTGCTGAGTTGGGTTTTATACAAATCTTAGGTATTTCAAGGAACAGCATTGGAAATGTGAAAAAAATATAGAATGGGAAAAATATTTGAAAATCTTATATCTTTTAAGGGACTTCTAACCAGAACATATAAAGACCTGTAACAACTTTACAATACTTTGAGATAAATAACTAAAAAGGACCAAGGTCCTAAACAGTTTTTCAAATAAGTACATTAAAAGATGCCCTGCATTGTTAGTCACCAAGGAAATGCCCATTGAATCCACAATAAGGTGATATTCATGTGCACCCATACCCACTAGAATAGCTATAATTTTTTTAAAATGACAATAACATGTTGGCTAGGATTCAAGAAATTCTAACTCACACATTGCTGATGTAGATGCAAAGTGGTCATGAGCTTTGAAAAATAATTTGGCAGCTCTTCAAAAAGTTAAGCATGGGGTTTCCATATGCTGTGGTCTGAGTGTCCTCACCAAGGTCATATGTTGAAGTCCTAACTTCTATAATTTATGGTATTAAGAGGTGGGCCTTTGATTAGATCCTGAAAGAACCCATTGATTAAATTGCCAATTCCAAAAGGTTTGGCACTCATGAAGCCCTTACCAGAAATAAATCTCTCATCTCGATCTTGGACTTACCAGCATCTAGAACTGAGAGAAATAAATTATTTTGTTTATGTATTACTCAGTGCTTACAAGGGAAACCAATTTAATGCAAGATATACAAAATTAGAAGATTGGCTTGCGGTGGCTGCCCACAAAGTCAGGTGCAGAAGTGTGCAAAAGGGCTGTCCGTCCCCTGGAGATCCAAAGGATCCAGTCAGAGCCCTGGAGCTCACTGTGGTGTCCCAAGCAAGTTC